AAGGAAGAAGAAGGGGATTGGCGAGGAAGAAGTGCCGGCAGCCATAGCTGACCGGGGAGTTGACCGAGAGGGTTGACCGGAGGCGTTGACCGGAGTTGACCGAAGTTGACCGAGGGTCATAGCAGCGTTGACCGGCATTGACCAAGGCGTTGACCAAGAATTTGACCAAGCTGGAGTTGGTGACATCTCGCCAAGCCCTTAGCGTGCCCCTTGCCCTATGGATGTGCACATACCCCTTGGTACTTGCTGAGTACAGTCTGTCTGTCTATTCTTTTTGCATCGAGTCTGTTCTGTCCTAGGTCATAGTACTCTGCGGATGAAGGATGGGCTTGGATGACGAAACCCTAGTCTGACCTTGTAGGGCTGAGACTGTGGCTGATCCAACTTTCCAGGGGGGCATAACCCTCCCAAGCGAAGCTAAAGGCTATCGTAGATGAGCAGGCGGCTAAGATGAAGAGGTTGGAGGAGGAGATGAAGAGGGTACAACAGGAGGAGGAAGAAAGAAGGAAGGCTGCTGAAGCAGAAGCGGCAGCAGAAGAAGAGAAAGAGAGAATGAGAATTGAGAGTGGAGAAGGGAGCAGTGGCACGATGAAGTGGGAGACAGATACTGAGCTGGAGAAGAAGATCAACGAGTGGGTCGCTAATTTATCGTTGGGGGAAGACGAGGAGGCGGAGTCATATGTGACTAAGGATGAGAAGGCTGCACTGGCCACTGAGTTAGCAGCCATGACGGACCCGATGGAACGAAGAGAGAGGGAAGACGAGCAAAAGTTAGCATGRAAGTTGAGAATGAAGAGGGAGAAGAAGAGGAGGAGAGAGGAAGTGAATAAGATGACCGCAGCAGTGGCAAAGGTGCAGGAGTGTAGAGCGGAGGTGCTGGCCCAGCCAGATGATAAGGCCAAGTGGGACAAGGTACTGGGCTATCTAGAGGTGTTGAGCAAGGCATGGATGGAAGAGCGCCAGGCAAGTTGGAGCCAGGATGTAGCGTTGAGTGCCATGCGGTCTGGTTTCAGGGATTTTGCGCGCGAGATCATCACCCACATTGGGGGCGAAGTGAAGCAATTGAGAGACAATGTAGGGAAGTTTTCTGAGGGCGCCATTCAGGGTGCCAAAGCTGTAGCCGCCGCAGAGGGAGAGGCCAGGCCCCGTAAGGACCCAGTGAAGCTTAAGTTTCCGAATGTGTACGGGGGAAAGAAGGAAGAAAACTTTGACAACTGGGAAGCCAGTGTCAACAGTTATGTTTACTTACAGCATATCCTAGCAGAGGAACAAGTCCTTGTGGCCTTCCAGGCCCTCAAAGATGAAGCGGCTAGCTTCGCCAGGTCTCTTGTGCGTACAGCCGGTTGTGAAAACAACCTGGTTGCATATTCCAAAGTCACTCCTCTTTCCCAATTCCTCAAGCTCCTCAAGGAGCGGTTCGCTGACCCAACACGAGGCATTAGAGCCTCTGATAAGCTCCAAACGATCCACTCCCGGCAGTGGAGGAGTGCCAAGGCACTCAGGGGTACCATGGACGACTTGGTAGCCGTCCCGGACCACGGGGTCACTGAGCCCGATCTGGTCCAGTTGTTTTATCGTGCCATTCCAGAGGCCCTACGCGGGCATTTCTTTGACAAATCTCAGCAGGCCAGCATGACTTACGATGCATTGAGTAGAGAAGTCGTCCTGTATAAGTCGAAGTCTATGCCAGTTACCACTTTCTGGCATAAGGACCTGGAGAAGGGGAAGAAGTGGAAAGATCGTACCATCTCGGGCGAAGTCAAGGCCAAGGATCACTTGATCCTGACATTAGAGGAGGGTGGTACAGAAGAGGTCCCATATGATCAGATTGAGTGGGGCCTAGGGGAGGAGTACAGTAGTGTAGGGCATGGGAGGTCTTACGCTGCTGTCACGGCCGGAGGGAGGCCGCAAGGTAGAGGAGGAGGCCAGGGCCAAAGGGGCCAGGCCATGGGAGGCCGAGGACCGGGCGCACATGGGGTTGGTGGACAGGGAAACCGCCAAGCGGGAGGTAGGGGTCAAGGTCCCCCGTTAAATCGCCAGGGTAACCAGTCCCCACAGCGAGGAGGTGGAAGGGCACCTCAAGGAGGATGGCACCTAGGCTTGCCGCAGGGCAGGCCCTGGGAAGACTTGGGCTTGGACCAGCGATTATGGCAGGAACGCGTGAACATGGGTCAGTGCGTATTCTATGGTGACCCGGGGCACGTAATTAAATTTTGTCCAAAGTATAGACAGGCCCGTTGGGCTGCTCAGGAGTCAAAAGGCAGCCGCCAGTAGGGGTCGCAACTGCCCCTACTTCCAGGCCATGTGGAGAAGTGAGCGCGCGCGAACAGGACACTCCCAACCCACATGAGCCTAGGGCGGAAGTTGCAGGCCCGTGCCTAGATAGCTGTCCAGAGGCTGCTTGTGTTAGCGTCTCTTTAGGCACGTCCCTCACAGGTGTGGCAGAAGAGT